ACACACACTGACCACCAGGGGGCAGATGCTCAATGCAGGAGCTTCCCCCTGGTGGTCAGTGCGCTCCCACAGGGGGAGCACTGCTCAGCCACAAGCCGGGCTGACGGCTGCCAGTACAGCGGTGGTGGTGGGAGCCTCTCCTGCCTCCTCAGCAGCACTAAGGATGTCTGACTGCAGCTTAGGTCTGCTCTCCACTAGCAAATGGACATCCCCTGAGGGCTGCTGGGCTGCCAGAGGGATTGCCAGCTTAGGCCCAATCCCCCGGGGAGCAGGCCTAAGCCAGCAAGTGGTCATCCCTGAGGGGTCCCAGACTGTGAGAGGGCACAGGCAGGGCTGAGGGACCTCCCTGAGTGCACAAATTTTTGTGCACCGGGCCTCTAGTGAATCAATATTCTATAAGAGGTTCTTCGTAGTATAAAGCTCATGATAGAAGATTCCAAAACTCAGGGTCTTATTGTTTCTTGTTCTAATCCTTGTAATGCTCTCGTTTTATCTGTGAGTATGCCAGAGGATGGGGATGGAGGTTTGTCTAGAATTTCCAAAAATTAAGCAACATTATTATCCCTCTACACCTTGTTGTTTTTAACCCCAATACACTGATAGCATCTAACTGAACTGGAAATAAATTATTTACTGTAATAAATTTATGTAGTACATTTTTTTAGAATTCCAGTTAATGAAACTAGCCAATACTATTTCACCTAGTTTTGGGAAGGAAAACAATTTTCCTGGACAGTAATGCCTTAGGGTTTTACTGAAAGCTCCTCTTATTTATGACAAATTTTTAAGACTGATTTGGATGATATAACTTGCCCTATAGGTTATACCTTGTTGAGAGATGTGAATGATTTATTTATTTGCTCTTTTCAGATCTCCTCACTGGAAGACAGCATCCACCAGTTTGAACTTATGTACTTAAAGGGACACAAAGTCTACAAAGACATTTCAGTTTGTCCAAACTCAGGTAGAATATTTGAGACATCTAATATTAGAACAAGGACTGTACCTGGACCCAAGGAGTTTCATGGTGTCCTAAGTTTCCTGACTTTTTCTTGGACTAGTTGGCTATTGCCAAAATTGGATTCCTAAACCTTATATATTTACTAAAGAATTATAGTCCTGATCAAATTTTATGGGAAGAATGGAATGAAATAGCATTTAGAGCCTTAAAGGAGAGTTTAATAAACCTACCTGCTCTTGGGCATCTTAATTATCAGATTCCATTTTCCTTATTTTTTAATCAAAAGGAAGGGAATGCCTTTGGGGTGCTCACCCAAAAACCTGGAGATCACCATAGACCCCCTAAGATATTAGCATCAGCAGCTTGACCCAGTGGCTCAGGGATTCCCCCTCCGTCCCCCCCGCCACCTCTTGCCTTAAAACCATTGATGCTACTGACTTGTTGGTTAGGGCTACAGTGAAAAAAATATATTAAAGTAACTTATGCAAAGACTAAAATCATTGTGAAAGTTTTTCATGCATATAAATCATAATGCAAATTACATTTTTCTATACACAGCAACTGTTTTTATTGCTTTACAATGTTAATACATTCACCCCTTCCACAACTCCATGAGGTAGTTAATACCATATGTTTATCTGCATTTCACTGGGGGGGAAGATGAGGTATAGGGTATTTCCACATTATACTTCCTTAAAAATAGTTTTACCGGATAAATTGTTTGGAAAATTATCTGTAGGAAATTAATTTAATGATAGTTATTTTTAATTTTTAAATTTTTCCAAGATTTTTCTCTTTGGAATGAAATATTTCTACCTCAAATAGGTAGAAAACCACTTGGAAATAAACTTTTATCTAAATCACTTGAAAGCAAATGTTGATCTTAGAAGCTAAATTGTGAAGTCATTTTGTCACAGGAAGAAGGGATCCTTATGTTAGAATTTCATTGTGATGAATAAACCGAAGGGGTCCCGTTTATGAGGCAAATCAGCCTCAGGCCTCTGAAACAACTACTCCCTTTTCTTCTTCGTTCCAGGTTTAGCAAACTTCTGGTAACACAACAGACAACATTTTGTGATGACAAATGTAGCACTTGCCACACAGGCCAGCAGGAACCCAATCACATCCAAAGAGTGGTACTGGACCCAGGTGAGGTCATAGGAGGCTGGACGCAGGTGCTTGGCTCCTTTGTGGCGCATGACAAACTCGATCCAGAAGACCGCTCGATCTAGAGGTTTCATAGGCTGGTCATGATGAATTCTTGATAATTTCATAGCATTCTCTTTATATCTGAAGGATAAACAAAAAGATACCAACATTGAAAGGAAGTTAATTTGCCTAACCAATTCAAACCTGCCTCCTGCACACTCCCCACTGGGGATGTGCCTGCAACCAAGGTACATGCCCTTGATTGGAATCGAACCCGGGACCCTTCAGTCCGCAGGCTGACGCTCTATCCACTGAGCAAAACCAGTTAGGGCAAAGCTCTAGAAGCTTTACAGAGGAATTGTATCCTGGCAGGAGAAAGGCTTCCTCACAGGTCTTTGTATTTCTACTCTTCTCTTCATAACTCTATTTATTTTTTTAAAAAAATTTTTATTGATTTTTTTACAGAGAGGAAGGGAGAGGGATAGAGAGTTAGAAACATCAACGAGAGAGAAACATTGATCAGCTGCCTCCTGCAAACTCCCTACTGGGTATGTGCCCACAACCAAGGTACATGCCCTTGACCGGAATCGAACCTGGGACTCTTGAGTCTGCAGGCCGACGCTCTATCCACTGAGCCAAACTGGTCATGGCATAACTCTGTCTACTTTTAACCCTGTAGCCAAAATACTTTTTGTTAAACCCAACAGAATACTACACCTGCTCAAAATTTCTATCTGCCTCCTTATCACATTTAGAATAAAATCCAAATCAATGATTTGCCCTGTCGTATCTTACAAGAACAGACCCCTGGCTATTTCTTCTATTATTTTCTCCCAAGCATGCTCTACTGTAGTCACAATGCTCTTCTAGTTAGCTATTCATTGGAGGTACCAAATATGTTCTCTTGTTAGCACTTTTGTACTTTCTGTCCGCTTTCTCCCTTTCCTGGAGCAGCTTTTCCTGTGACACCCCAAGGCTGCCTCTATCTCTTGCTGGAGATGTTGGCTCAGTGTCACAACTCAGAGAGACTTTCCCTGGCCACTCTATGATAGCATTTCTTTTTTTTAAATTAATTTTTAATTTTTTAAATTTATTGTCTATAGTTTTACATATGTCTCCTTTTTCCCCAGTTGACCCCTGCCCCCAGCAATTCCCACCCGGGGCAAGCCCCCACCACCCCAGTGTCTATGTATGATAGCATTTCTTTAATGTCTCTGGTTTTCTTTTTTTTCTATTTAATTCCTATAATTTCTAAATACATTTTATAAAACATACCTTCAATTTATTTATGAAATTCGTAAGTGTGTGCATATATTCTAAGTGATCAGCTCAAAATTTCAAAATTATCAATAAAGTTATAAAGTGAACATCTCAACATACCCACTATCCGTAGAAACACTTCATGCCTGGGCCATTTTACTACACCCTTCTCCAAATTGCCTACTCTCCTGATCTCCAATACCATAAATTAGTTTTTCTTGTTTATATATTAGAATCTTATAGTATGTACTCACTTGTTTTTTTTCTTTTCTGTAGCAGTTATTGGTTAATTCCTTTGCTATATAGTATTTAATTGTATGACAATACTACAAATTATTTCTTCATTTAATGACCAGTGGACATTTAGATTATTAATACTTTTTGGCCATTACTACTAAGCTACTATAAACATTTTTGTATATGTCTTTTAGTTTACATGTCTATGCATTTCTATTCCTATAGACCTAAATTGATGATAACAAGAATTCACAATGATGTAGAGAATTGGAACTCTCATACATAGCTGATAGGAATGTAAAATGGTATAGTCTCTTTGAGCATCAGTTTTTCAGTTTGTCATAGAGTTATTGTATGACCCAGAGTTCACTTGAAGATATCTACCTAAAAATGAATGAAAACTGATAGTCACACAAAAACATAATGCTGAATTCATAATAGACAAATAATTGATAAAAGATCTATTTCTAACTACTATTAAAAATGTGATACTTACGAAGGGTCATTAATGACAGTCTTCAATGCATTGAGCAAATCTGCACTAGACATGGTGTTGAAGTCCAATCTGACAGCTGCTCCCTTGGTCTTCATGCGAACAATGTTATCAGGTTGATCCGCAAACATAGGGATGCCCACCATAGGGATCCCATGGTAGATCGCCTCATAGATGCCATTGGTTCCACCATGAGTTATAAAGGCTTTGGTTTTTGGATGACCTAGGATTGGGTGAATTTCAGCAAAAAATGAATTATAAGTCTTGGAAATAAAATGGGAGTTGGGCAATAAAGGCACTGACAGAGACTATATATTTAGTAACAGATTGGTCTACCCTTCAGACTGTATTAAAATGTTTTTCAGATCTCATAGGAAGAGAAACATAAGTCTGCTGGAGGGACAGTGAAGGCTTACATAGAAGATCAGTGTGTTCCTTTTGACTTGAAATGAATACAAGTTGCTAGGGGACAAATGGAGAGAGAATATTCTGAATTTAAAAAAGTGTATGCTAAAAAAAAAAGTGGTGGTGCATGTTGAAATATATTCTCTTAATAAAATAGTGAAGTCACAGAGTGTAATGTGTAGATGTCAAGGCAACAGACAATGGGATGGTGATGGCACAGGAATTAAAGGAACAGGTACACATTATCATGAAATTATTTATTACTTCAAAAAGATATATATATATATATATTTCCCAATGGAAATGTAGAGTCGCTGGAAATAAAAGCGGAGCTGATATTTTTCAGGGACACCTGTACACCCTTACCATGGATTAAACGATTGGTGTAAGGAGAGAATTAGGAGGTAGCGTGGCAATTGGGAGTGTTGAGATATTCTCTCTGAGAGGAATTACATATGAAATAAAGATCTTTTGTTTGTGGTCATAAGGAACATGGCTGTGTAACATAAGATGCCAACTTATAGCTTATCCTTTTCCCCTAGGACTGGGAAAGAAATATCGGGAAGTTCATTTTTATTTTTGAGGTTTTCAGTAAGAAATGTCCAATACATTTCTATCCTAGTGAACTGTTTATCATTCTGGTTGACTTGATTCTGATTTCAGGGTTTTCCAGAATCTTACCAAGAAGGTCATTCTGGGGGATCCATTTATAGAGCCGGGTATTTGGCCCTAAGGTATCTGGTTTTTTGCCATCATATCTCCATATAACCTGTTAGGGTAAAGAAGATAATGTACTTCTTAAGTCAAACTGCAGAGTTATATCATGTTAGAATTCTAAATAGGTTAAGAGACATCTAGTTAAACCTCTGACATATTACAGGTAAGGGAATGAGGAAAGGACATTCTCATAATGAGAATCAATAAAAGGCTGATGTAAGAGGCATACACACTTACATTGCATGTTACTTATTTTTATATTCAGTCAGGTATGAGTGCAATCATGATTTTTCACACTTTGGGGTTAGACAGAGGAGATTATCAATGGCCAATTAAAGCATATAAAATTTTTTAGGTAGTCATATAATTGTAGTGCAAAACCCAGCAAATTAATGGTCTATGCATTTATTTTAATTATTTATTATTCTAGCTGTCATCATCTAGATTTAATGTTAACCTGTTTATTTCTTTTTGAATGATGGGGAAGTGGTTTTATTATATTCACTAATTTCATAAAGTATCTTAGAGTTTTACATAATTTGATTTACAAAATCAAGGCAATCAGCTATTTATGAGGATTAAATAATTTTGATGTTTAAGTTTATTATTAATAATAAATAATGTCTGCTTAATGAGTATGTTTAGCTTCTTTTAGTTTTCTACTTATTAATCACCACTTCCAAGTGGTAATTTTTACCTAAATCCAGTATTATCACTCTAGCTAGGATGGAAAATTTTCTTAAAATGTAGAAAAGAAAAGCCATTGGCACTTTATAAATAATAGTTTACCTGTTGAAAAGATCAAATATGATAATGACAGTAAATTTTACTCAACTGACTGTTAACACTACAAAACATGCTACAATGTACTGACAGCATTGATTAATACGGTTAATTAATGATAAATAGCCAAGCAATTTCTAAGTCCACCAG